ATGGTGTTATAGGCATTTGAAACGATGGTGTATGTTGTTATAGGCATTTGGACAGATGGTGTATGGTGTTATAGGTATTTGGACCCATGGTGTATCATGTTATAGGCATTTGAACAGATGGTGTGTGGTTTTATAGGCCTTTGAACCGATGGTGTATGGTGTTATAGGTATTTGGGCCCATGGTGTATCGTGTTATAGGCATTTAAAAAGATGGTGTATGGTGTTATAGGATTGTAAACAGCAGTTTAATCTTTGTCATTCGTGCAGGACAAAAATTCTTCAGTTGGACATAGGGATCGATGTAATGGCCCATAACAAGCGAGTTGGCTTCGGCAATCGTCGGGACGGGGGTTCGAAAAGTGAGACACGATTCTTCACGCACTAAGTTGATGCGCATCATCGAAACGCGTCGCGCTTACGGCGCTGTCCACTACCCTGTTATGTTCTGCCGTGGATGCATCAGCATCCCTGGGCGCCATCCAAATTCCAAAGCCATTCTTCGAAAAGTTGTGCTGGAGACTTCCACTCTAACCGAATCATGGGAAGACGAGAGCAATAAAACGACATCCAACCATGTGTGTAATTTCCCCGAACAATAAAATGGAAGCGCCGGTATTCAGCTAGTAACTTAACAGAAGCGGCAGTCGGTGTGTAACCGAAATGCTTCAAATTGGATTAACAATTAAATTTGGTGCCAATTAATTTTTTTCGCACATTCAGTGGGCAGGTTGTTGTTTTTTTTTGAAAGCATTTCGCTCAGAGGTGTTAACTAACTGGCATATCCTCAAAAACCACACTTCCTGAATTTGAGTTTTGGCGCATAAACTCACTCACACACACACACATATTCTCTCACTCACACAACACAGTTCATCATACACACATTTCTAACTCACACACACTCACTGACACACACATTCTCTCACTCACACAACACAGTCAACCACAGACACATTTTTAGCTAACAAACACTCACTGACACACACATTCTTTTACTCACTCTTAATCACACACACATGCGAACACTCTCAGATCACTCACACAAACACATTCTCTCACTCATACACTCTCAATCACACATACACACTCACACACACATTCTCAGGCACTCAGACACTCTTACTCACACATCTCAGCAAACACACGCATGCACACCAGCTTTAACACACGCATGCACACCAGCTTTAACACACACTCTAATACACAAAAACACACACACACTCCCAAAACTATAACTCAACCTCTCACCCACGCACATATTAACACCCCCCCCCCACAAACAGACACACCCCACTCACACACTCACCCCACACACACACTCACACATCCACTCACACACATGATGCCCTAACCTGAAACTGAGGCACGATCAGCTTACACACGTGCTCGTCCTCTATTTTGAAATTCACGCAGAACTTGATCACTTCCTGGACAATCGTCTGCACCGCCGTGGCTCTCCGTATCATGTCACGTATCTCTGTGACGACAAACACGCAGACGCCGCACGTGACGTTTCCCCAGCGGTCCAGTCTCCGATGACGCTGCAAGTAAGAGGCCATCTTGTTGATGCCCATGCCGGAGCTCTTGTCGTCTCCGAACTTAACGACTCCATCAGTCGCCCCGTGTCCGTTATTAGAAGCCGGTGTCCCAACGGAGGATATTTTTACACTTTTTGAAGCCGTGTCGCCGCCACGTTCTGGAGTCTGCGTCTGTTTTGAATCTCCCACAACCTTTGACCTTGCCTCGAGCACAGCCATTGTGCAAAATGTGAAAATAAAAAAGCTTAACCACGGCTTCATTGTGAAAGTTGCAAACAAAGATCTAGCACGAGCCTTCAGTCAACTCGCCGTCCTTCAATCACTACATCATCACACATCAATAAATAGAAATATCTGTACCTATCTCCGCAATCTCGGGGTTTCTCAAAATAAGCTGTGACGCAGCCACTGGAAGTCAATAAGGGAGCTACTGATAAACTGTGTAGATTTTAATGTGTTATTTTAGTTGTTCATTTGTTAAAACGTTGTTGTTTTTTTTTAATGAAACGGTGGGGCATAAAGCAATGTACCTGTAATCGCTATGACGCTAATGAAATCAAAAGGTTTGAGATCCACCACGTGACCTCAGCAATCTAATGAAATATGTATTCACGTTTAGAGTGTTGTTGGGACAACAAAGCAAAGAAACGGTACGATATCTCGGACACGGATATTCGATACCAACTGCGGGATATCACGTGTTAGGGACCAACCTTACAGCGTCCCATATCACTACGTCCCTTGCGTCACTAGCTTACGTCCCTAGTTTACGTCACTAACTTACGTCAGTTACTTACGTCACTAACTTACGTCCCTTACGTCGCTTCCTTGCGTCAATGGCATACGTCATTTACTTACATCACTTACTTACGTTACCAACTTACGTCACTAACTTACATCACCAGCGTAACTTCCTTACGTCAATTGCCTATGTCACTTACTTATGTCACTTACTTACGTCACTTACTTACGTCAATATCTTACGTCACTTACTTACGTCACTAACTTATGTCACAGACGTCACTTACTAACGTCCCTTAATTACGTCACTTACGTCACTTACTTACGTCACTTACTTACGTCACTTACTTACGTCACTTACTTACGTCTATTGCTTACGTCACTCACTTACGTCACCTACTACTTACGTCACTGATGATCATATTATTATTGGACTAAAGCATGAAGCCATCAGTTTCCACCGTCCTAGGCCAGGGGTAGGATGAAAATTTTTAGCACTCGAGCTCGGACAAACCAGCGCTTCGACTCCAGGCAACTTGCCAAGACTCCGCAGACCTGGTTTAAAATATGAGGGTCAAAGGCGTATCTACTGAATGATGACACTAAGCTTAAGTGTTCCTAATCTCGGAAGTCTCCACATACTGTTTTGTAAATGTTTCAATAAGTTGGTCTGCTCACTGTAGAATGTAATGAATCTCACGCAGTGGCGTAGGAAAGGCTAGGTGGAGCACTCAGTCAACCCTGGGTGGCAATTTGTTTCATTTTTTTATTTTTATTTTTTTGTGAGGCGGCTTTTTTAAGACAACTGTAGTGTTTTTCGTGGCAGTGGGTGGCAAAAATCTTGGCCCACCCTGGACGGCAGTAAACGCGGCTACGCCACTGATACCACGGTTAAATATTGGCGACACTCTACGAGAAGATGTTTTTTTTTAAACATAAGTAAGTTATGTATTGTGATTAATGTAAGTACCATGTACATATCCTACCATATACATATCCTACCATGTATATATCCTACCGTGTACATATCCTACCATGTACATAGCCTATCATGTACATATCTTACCATGTACATTTCATACCATGTAAATAGCCTATTATGTACATACCATGAACATAGCCTAACATGTACATAGCTTTCATGTACATAGCCTAACATGCACATAGCATTATATGTACATAGCATACCATGTATATAACATATAAATAGCCTGATATGTACTTAGCCTACAATGTATATACCCTGTACATAATCTACCATGTATATACCATGTACAAAGCCTATAATGTACATACCTTGTAGATAGCCCACCATGTACATAGCCTACCATGTATATACCATGTAGGCCTACACAGCCTTCCATGTTCACAGCCTTCCATGTACACAGCTTTCCCTATACACAGCCTTCCATGTACATAGCCTACCGTGTACACAGCCTTCCTTGTACACAGCCTTCCATGTGCATAGCCTACCGTGTATACACCATGCTGCATTGTGATTTAGCTGCGGACGATCTGTCTTAGAACGACCACATAAAAGAAGGTGACCATGCCCCACAAAACTCTTTGGCCGTCCAAGCCTCAGAGTCCCTTATGATAGTCATACAGGTCCGCCCATGGTCAAGGCAATGAGGGAAGTGGACCAAATACTTGGTTTATGTCGGTCTAGTCTATTTCAATGTTCATTGGTCGGTTTAAACACGTGCCAGTTATCAATCGTTTCAAATTGATAAATTACAGGACATTGTTTCTAATACAGTAATACACTGATTAGGTCAGTGGTTCCCAAACGTTTAAGTTTGGCGGACTGGTGAACAAGTTTCGAAATTTACCAGGGACTGGTGCATGATTTATTTTTTATACTTTTATTTCTATTTGACAATAATATTTATGTTATGGGGACCGGTAGCGTTAGCCATGCGGACCGGTGAAGGTCCACGGACCGGCAGTTGGGGACCACTGGATTAGGTGACGTGAAATAGGTCACCATTTTGGAAATTTAAGTCGGTGGGTCAGATTTATTTCGAATTTATGCCTGTCTTATAGTCTGTCACTCTGCAATAAACAGAAATAACAAGAACTTGTACAAATCTAAACAATAGTTCAAAGCCAGAATTGAGATTAGAGAAATGGCCTCACATTTCTTACGCCCTTCGGGAGAAATCATAATCAGAGGCTTAGCTAAGTGTTTTTCCCGGAGTCAAAGATTCCTTTTTACGCCCCCCCCCCCCCCCCCTCTGAAACAACAGAAGGGAAAAAAGGTGTTGGCGGGGGGTAAATAATTTAGAAATGAAAACTTGTTCACTGTCAATTACATAACGCTTGTGGATTAACCCTCCGGGGCTCATCGTAAAAAAAATGTATAAGCCGATGACGATGTTCACAGTAATTGCGGTTTGTTACTTAGTTAACTTAGTCTTAGTGTTTTAATTTTAATCGAGGGAGCGGCAAAAAAAGTACCCCTACTTTTTGTAGGTGGTCGCCTAAATTCCACCACGCCCATAGATTAATCAATGAATAATCAAAAAAAATATTTACGCTGTGAGAAAACCAGTTCATTTTTTTATAATAATTTAGTTAGTTTAGTGACATGTTTTCTGACATTTTATTTATTAACGTTGTTTTCTATGTGAAATTGACCAATTATTTATTTAATTATTTCGATAAAGTTCAAGAAAAATTTAACATTAAAAAGGGGGAATAATCTTGCATTAACCATTCAGATTTAACTTTTTATTTCCAAAATGGCAGATAAACAATCTTCTGGTAGCAACAGTAACCTTCCAGAGGACATCTGGCTTGTAAGTGATTATTAAGGTTCCAGTTAAAAATACGGAATGAACTAAAAATTTGGCAATATTTCTTAAGGAATACAAGACCTTTCACCGGTCCTAGACTTGTCTTGTTTTTACTGATCAAGAAACACTAAATTGCCGACTTGGTACTTACTTGACACTACTTACATTACATATTATTATAATGATGTAGTCAATGTAGTTATCTGCGTATAACACGCATATCTGAGTATAACACGCACTTTTTCTCCCTGAAAATAGGGGGCAAATGATGTGTGCGTGTTACACGCCGATATAATGTTAAGGACCCAGAGTACATACCACATAGCGGCTCGAATGGATGTCATCGGAATGTGTCACATAATTTAAGCAAGTGGAATTCTTCTTGAATGGTGCAGCATTACAGACCTCCAGTGCAGCCTTCCTCCTTCCTGCTACAGGGGATACCTCACACCAGTAAATCTTGTGGCCGTCCGTGCGTAACCACAGCAACGGTACAGGCAATTAGGGAATGGCATTTAAGGAATTTCAAGAATGTGACAAGTACAATATTGCACACAAAGATTAGACACTGCCTGACAGAGCAAGGGGGAGCAAGAGACTACTACATACTACTACATACACTAGCTGACCCCCCTCCTTGCATTGTGCATTGATTTTAAAGGGTACCAGAGTATTAAAAGAAGTCTGTCGGGGGGGGGGGGGGGGGGAGCAAAGAAGAGATCTGCAAGTTCGCACAGAATCAGATTGCACTAGTGTGAACCACTATGCGATCTGATTCTGCTGCGGATAAAAAAAAGGGTCATGTCCGTGTTTAGTGCAGATGCGGTGTTAATTCAGCCATACAAACTGTATGGCTGAAATTTGCACCGCACATAAGATCGCATGTACGGTAATTTTAGGAGCAGTGCGCTCCGAATTACATGCCATCTCTGTACTCTCACTAATGTGAACCGGCACTTAAGGGGACCAGAATGGCAAAAGAAATCTGCCCGGGGGAGGGGGAGTAAAGAAACACTACCTGACAAGGGGATGGGAGCTTTGAGACACACAGGACCCCATCCCTGTCTTTTTACCCCACTCTCCCTTTCAGGCGATGGGCGTGTTTGCATTGAGCCCGCCAGGAAGCCGACACTGCACCCTGTCAATCATAGGTAGTGTGTGTATGTGAAACTGGCGTTTGGGAAATGCCTCACTACCTATGATTGGCTTCCTGGGGGGCTCAATCTGAATACGTCCGAGACCATCCTTAATTTTACCATAAAATACAAACACATGCTAAAAAAGCCATCCTACAACACACACTACAAACAGCCATCCTACAACACACAGATATAACAAGAGATCTGAATTTATGGTACGCTTTGAAAGTGGTAATGTTTGTTTCGGTGCGCTGAAAGGCTCTTATTATCCTGATTAACTATATTACAGCTATAACAAGAGTACCGGTAAATTTACATCCCCCTGATACTACCTTACTCTTTTTTAATTTAAACTAGGTAAAAAGTATACCACTGCAGTGTGACTCATCTTGACATTCCGACGCTGAACTCTGCACTATCATGCGTGCATTCATTACTTACGGTATTTCCCTACTACGGTATCCCTAATGGAATCAAATCAAAAGCGTGCAGCATATACAGCTGGTTTCAAGTTAAAGGTTGTGGAATATGCCAAGCAACATGGAAATAGGGCTGCAGCAAGGCATTTTGGAGAGCCACCCACAGAATGCACAATACGAGAGTGGCGAAAAATGGAAGAAAAACTCAAGACCTTATCAAAAACAAAATGCAATTTTCGCAGTGGTATTGCTAAATGGCCAAAATTAGAAGAATGGGTGAAGGAATTTGTACTTAATCATAGAAAAGCGGGCATTGCATTATCAACAAAAATGATCATCATTCAAGCAGTGAAAATCAGCAAAGAGTTGCAAATACAAGATTTCAAAGGGACAGCATCATGGTGCCAAAGCTTTATGAAGAGGCATGAGCTTCGGATGCGAACAAGAACCAGGATTGTCCAGTGTATGCCAGGAGATTATGAAGAGAAGATAATAAATTTTCATAAATTTATTATCAAACAAAGGAAAAGACAAAATTTTGAAATTGATCAAATCGGCAACATGGACAAAGTACCACTCACTTTTGATGTTCCTTCAAATAAAATTGTTGAAGCAAAAGGTGCCAAGACAGTAACAATTAAAACTTCAGGGCATGAAAAAAATCGTTATACTGTGGTCCTTGCTGTCACTGCAGACGGAAACAAGCTGCCACCATTGGTCATTTTGAAAAGGAAAACTTTTCCTAAGGAGAAGATTCCAAGTGGCATACAGGTGCATGTTCATCCCAAAGGTTGGATGGAAGAAGAAGTCATGAGGCTTTGGATCAGAAATGTGTGGGAGAAGCGCCCAGGTGCTTTGTTAAAGAACCCATCCTTGTTAGTACTGGACTCATTCAGATCTCATCTTACAGAACCAACAAAGAAAGAATTTCAAATGTGCAAAACAGAAGTAGCAGTCATTCCAGGAGGACTTACATCACAATTGCAGCCATTGGATGTTTCCATTAACAAGCCCTTCAAAGCCTTCATGCGTGAAGAATGGAATAAATACATGTGTGATGAAAGCCAACGTGAAAGTACAAGTTCTGGGAGAATGAAAAGGCCTGGCATTTCAAAAGTGTGTCAGTGGATAAAGACTTCGTGGGACGCAGTTAAAGAAGATATTATTATCAAATCTTTTAAGAAATGTGGCATAAGCAATGCTTTGGATGGTGAAGAAGACGAGCTGATGTATGAAGACAGTAGCAGTGAAAGCAGCAGTGTTCAGTTAGAAGACAGTAGCAGTGAAAGCAGCAGTGTTCAGTTCGAAGATATTGAAGATAGCAGTGAAGATGAAGAGTTTCTTGGTTTCCCAGATAGCAGCGATTTCTGAGTAAACTTTTGTAAAAACATATAATATCCAAGTTTCGTTGTTAAAACAGTTGCTTTTACTGTCATTTTACGTTATTTACCTTAAAAGTGTTAATAATATTAATTTTAAAAAGTTCTGAGCTACCCTTATTTTACTTCAAAGTTCTATATTTGAAATGTAAGGTTTTTTTCCTGAAATTTCCTTCTTAAAATGAGGTGCCTTTTATACGCCGATAAATACTGTTATTTATACGCCGATAAATACGGTAATTTATACTAGTACTAGTACTAATGACTAAGACTAATAGTATAATAGTACTACTACTAATGTAAGTAACCCGTGGGCACGGGCCTTTTGGGAGAGCTTGACTTGAACTCATTGATATTGAAAGTTTATTGAAGTTTCTTTTGTATTTTGTAAATTCAACAATTGTGATTTACTTTCACTTAGACTTAACTCAGAATTACTTAGTATCTAACGGCAGTCAAATCTTAATCCACAAAGAGTAAAGACAAATCCCCTCGTAACTTACACCGAGTAACTGTAATTTATCTTTTAAGTATTACTTAGTATTAGTAATGTAAACTGTAAATTAAGACTTACAATACCGGTACTTGAATTCACTCTACCCAAGGACTTAAAGTTGTTTGAAATGTGTTATATTTTCACAATGGAATTTTTGTCATATCTACTGACTTAGAAATAATGAAATATTTTAATGGTGGGGATCATTAATCAGTAATTGTAATAGCTGACCTCCTCATAGTCATAACATTGCTCATTGAACTCTCCCAAACTTGGAAATGAGTGTTCAGTTATATATGTGAATTTTTATTGTTTGGTTATATTGTAAAAATTTACTTGACATAATCTTGTAAAACTTTTAAAATGTGTCCAGAGGTCATCCATTTATTCTTTTGATGGCGTTTTGGATGAATAAAAGAAACAAGATGTGGATTAAATGAGACTCATAATTGAGAAATTTTTAATATAAATACTACATCATTACAAGTGTTTTGTCAAAGCATACATTTGACATTTTAAGTTTAAGATTTTTATGACTAAATATACAGAAGGAAGGAACGTGAAATTAAAAATTCAATTATATTAGAGTTGGAGGTTCTTTTTATGTTTCAGTTGAAATCAGAGGTTAAATTGTGGTAGCATTTTATCAAAATGCATGTAGTTTATGTTTAAGCCTTGTCCCATTGATACTTCTACCATTGTATATAACAAAATATATAAGCTTGTTGTAAAATTATTCTTTGAGGCCAACTTTCATCTGTGCAAAATTGTTTTGCTTGGATCAACAATTATATCAGCTCTTCTTTTTATTAATTTTTTCATACAAGTGATGTACATATGTCAGAAGTTAACTTCTTTTTTAAAATTGTTTTCTATTGCTATAAGTAAACAAAGATAAATTACACTTGTGTTCTTAGCTTTTAAATATTACTCTATAGGTAAGACCTTGTGAGGTATACAAGGATGAATACAGGGATTGCAAAAGTAAGTGATAATCTTTTATTTCCAGGCTGATTGTGTGTAATGGTATATAAATATGGTATCAGTACAATTCATAGTTTTCTGATCTACAAATACTGAGTTAATTCTATTGTAGTAAAGGGTTAATGTCACTTCATGTCAAAACTAATTTTGAAAGTCTACACAATTGTTACTATTGTGACATCATCAAAACTCAGTTCTTCTTCTTTTTCTCTAGGTCTATGGACCAGACTTTATCAGCACTACACAGATGGAATTCAGCAAGATTGTACCCAATGGTTAACTAATTTCAATAACTGTATGGCATTTAGAAATACAAAAGATTTTTTAGCTGCAGTAAGTTGTTAGCTTATACTTGATTTTTTAAAATTTCTTTATGAGTTGCTTTGCTATCTCTTGAGACTACTTTTAGTAGAAGACCAACAATTAAAACTGTTTTTATTCTTATTATTTTAAACTAAATACCACTCCAACTATGGTCCAACTATGGTATCAAAAACTTTTCAAATTTAATTTGAGTTTCATGTAACGGTAAGATGTAACATTTCTGTTTTTTAACTTTACAAATTACATTGGATTTCTTATTGCAGGAAGCATTGATTGCAGTGGAAAGGGAAAGGAGAAATCACAGATTAAAACTAGCTCGAATGAATGATGTTTGGGAGTACAGGACAAAACCACCAGCTGAATGGCTTGAACCATTATCATAAAAAGAGTAGAGTGATCATTGAAATATTTTGCTTGATTTTACAATATATTCATAACATAAATGCGGGTTAATTGGAAGAATAAATGCGTGTTTAAAATTAAAAACAAAAATGAATGATGGGGTTTCTCCTTCATAGTGTTTGGGTAAAGAGATTAAAATACATGAGATTAGTTTTATGGGTGTCCAAGTCAGTTGAGGGTAGATCCATTGCATATCTTTAACTTTATTGCCCCAGGCATGTAGAGGTATTAATAAAAATAAATAAGCATTCATAAAATTGTATTTTAATAAGGATTTTGTTAAGCAATATCTCTGGTTTTGAAAACAATAATCAGTTTTTGTTTTTTTATATTGACCATTTAATAAACTTAATGTTATTAAATTTGATCTGCCAGAAAATCCAAGTGTTCAAATAAAAGTGTCGATTAATGCCTCATGTGGATTTCCCTATATCTACTTGGCTCATCATTTATTTCAAATTTGTCTTTAAAAAGAATGCTTATAAATATTTAAATTTATGTCAATATAAAATGTTCATTCAGTCAATTATTATTATTGGAGCTGACTGAGGTGAATGTGTAAGGTCCACAGATTCTTCACTAGTGTTTTATGTCAGGAATCTGGATTCATCTTATACATAAAATATTATCTGTTCTATTGAAATAAAATAAAAATCTCCAAATAAAAATATCTAGCAGCACTGGTAAGTTATTTACAAATTGAAAAACACTTTAATAGTATTTTACAAATTTTTAATGTTAATTTCAAAATATAATTTACAAATGAACAAACTAAATTTAATTTTTTAAGATACTGGTATCTCCATCTTTTTCATCTTCATCTCCAAAGTCTTCCTTGTTGTCATTGCCGAATTCTCTATCAAATTCCTCTTTCGATATCTAAGAAAATATTAAAATCTTGTTACATATTATCAAATTAATAACATTTTAATTACAAAATTATTTACTCATTTAAATGTAACAGAACCTGTACTTTGTTTAAAATAAAGCAGGATTTTTAATTTAAGTAGGTTTAAATGGGATTGCAGATTTTTGCTAGACTCAACTCAACTAGTAATTTTAAGGTCAAAGAAAAAAATTAAAGCAAAATTTAGATTAATGGGACACAAACATTTAGTGTAAAACAATACAGGTTTAGCTTTAATTAGGGTTACACAGAATATAAATGCAAATTTTTTGGCAAATGCCTTCATCAGTACAACAAAAACATTCATATAATTATAAATTTAATTCACATACATATATATATAGACACACATATGTATCGTACATAAAAATTGTATTGTAATAAGGATGTTTGGAATTGTGTTCTTTGTGACCATAATTAAAGCTTAATCTAAATTGTTGCATTTACCCAAATAGTTTGTGTCTCATTAATCTTATGAAAGCTTTATCCCAGTCCAACCCTCAAACAGGAAAATTAGTAGTGGTATCGGATGAACTTGAAATTGTTCAAAAAGCATAATTACTATCCCTAATCACCACAATGTAAAATTATATATATATATATATATATATATATAAAAGGCTAATTAACATCTTGAGAAGTTATTTACTTTTCCTCTTTTCAGTTTCTTAATCAATCTAATGTCATCATCAAATTCATCAAACTCCTCCTCTTTTTTTGTCTCGAGCTTTCTTTTCTCAGCTTTAGTTAGTCTGTCATCTTTCTTTTGTTTCCTCTTTTCTTTTCTATCTTTATGCTTGGACCAAGCAACAGTCTGTAAACAAAAAGTAGAGCAAGAGAATATTGGAACAATTTATGTTTACGACAAGATAATATTTTTAATATTATCTAAAAAAAAAAAGCTATGTGTATATATATAATTTTATAAGATAAAATAATTGCAAAAGATGTAATTGGAGAGTATTTACGAATGTAGGGACAATTTACCGATGGGGGACATGTCTTACCATTTATAAATAAGGAAAGGAGGAGGAATTATTAGGTAGTCACTTTTTTAAAAAGTTAACCACCATTGTTTGTACCTCACTTATTATACATTTTATCCTACAAGATGGAACATCTAGAACTGCAATTTGAATTTAAATCTTTCTTGTAGCAGCATGGAGACTTCTTGTTTTTTAGCTGTTCCACTAATCTTTTTTGGATATGTGGGGCTTAGGGCGAAAAAGGTTGGAAAATAAAAACTTTCTTTCTCTTAAACTATTATTTATACCATGCATTAAAAAAATAAGACAGGGAGACTCACTGTCTTGTATGCTTTTTAACCCAACATTAGGGAGAGTTATTAGAAACATAGACATTGACACTCGAGGAACGATAACAGGAGGGAAACTCAAAACCCACAACCAACGGGCACTCTCTACAACCAACCATTTCAGTATCTCGCATATGCTGATGACATAGCACTTCTAGGGAAAAGTATTAAAGACGTATCAAAATCCTTCATTGAATTAGAAGACACATCTCTACAAGCAGGGCTGGAAGTTAACAACCAAAAAACAAAATACATGACCATGATAAGAGAAGAACAAACAGATGAAACAATTAAAATTAGAAACCAAACTTTTGAAAAAGTAAATCAATTCAAATACCAAGGATCCTTGTTAAATGAAAGAAATGAATTACTAACAGAAATAAAAGAAAGAATATCAGCCGGAAACAGGGCATACTTCAGTAGTCAGAAAATACTCAAAAGTAAAAACATTACAAGAGAAACAAAGAAAACTATAAAACTCCAATCAGACCAGATAATAATAATAAAGTTCATTTCAAAAACACGCTTCATCCCCAAAGGCTCGAAGCGCGGTACAAAGTCAACAAAATACAAATCTATAATTTACCACATTTAAAACAAACGCAACACTACAAAAACTAAAAATAATAAAGTTCATTTCAAAAACACGCTTCATCCCCAAAGGCTCGAAGCGCGGTACAAAGTCAACAAAATACAAATCTATAATTTACCACATTTAAAACAAACGCAACACTACAAAAACTAATTACTAGCATACAATTGCAAAGTCTTTCTAGCCATTTCAACCCCAAGCAACACAGCCATTATGCATTAACTGGAAAATAAGGTTGACAATCATCCCAGAAGGTGTTTGCGAAATAGGTGTGTCTTTAAATTGTTTTAACATATGTAAGTGAAACCTGAACCCTAACAAAAAGAGCAGAAAACCTATTAAACACATGGGAGAGGAAAGTTCTCAGGAAAATATATGGGCCAACAAAGGATGAATATGGATGGAGAATACGAACCAACCATGAATTATACAGTCTATATCAGGATCCCACGATAGTAGCAGAAATAAAAAGAGGCAGGCTACGCTGGGCAGGACACCTAGAGAGAATGCCAAATGACAGAGGAACGAAGAGGGTGCATCACCAATTCCCCAGAGGAAAAAAGCTCAAAGGCAGACCTAGGCTTAGGTGGATAGATGATGTGGAAAATGATCTACAGCAGTTGAAAGTCCAAGCATAGAAAAGAAAGGCGTTAGTTAGGTCTGAGTGGAAGGCTGTAGCACCACAGGGATGGATGGATTAAAAAAATACTGTACACTTTAAATTATGTCATCTTATTATTTGGATTTCCACATATCATGTATTTAAAAAAATACAGCCCTACCTTTGGTGGTCGAGTCATTTTGATCTTCTTCACATTTTCTCCCAATGCTTCTTTTTCTTTTCTTAGTTTTTCTCGAACTTTGTCTTTATAGGGTATTGTAGAAACATCTATTTCAATAGGTTGAAAGGATAACAGTGATTTCCCTTTGAGTTCTGGCATTTTTGGCACATGAAGAAGACCAAACCCAAGAGCCAGGCGACCAAAGTCCAGATCTAAGTGAGATAGTAAAAATAAATGCATTGTAATTGTATGGTATCTGACAAAGGAGTCCACCTAGCCCAGTTTTTTTGTAACCACAGTTCTATGGACTGGAGCAGCTCCACAAAAAAAGTTCCTGCCAGTGCAGAATAATGTTATTTTGGCTTGAAACCTTATGTAGCCTGGATCATGCACCTGAGTGGATTATTTCATGCCTTGTCCAAATGAACCCAAAACTTAAATAAATTATTAACCTTGAATTAAGGATCCTCATTAATAATCCATTAACATTTGTCCACTCAAACAAAACAAAAAAGTTCCACAAACAATGTCACATCATCTTCTTCAAGGATAAACATACAATAAAATTGAGAGGATCAATAAATATAGCTACAAGTAGATAATTCTATTCCTTATTTCAAGTAGGAATGTAGAGAATTTTTTGTTTATAATTTTGATAATTTGAATACGTTTGCTATGACAGGTTTTCAATAAAACTCCCTCATATAGTTTAGGACAGACACAGACATATATATGAATTCTAAAGAAAAAATAAGAAAACTTTGATGCAACACTTATTAAGGCCATCACTTCTGTTAAACCTCACTCAGCATTCACTATCTCACAAGGCAAAATAGATTACGTGCTCAAAATAGTTGAAAATGAGCTTAGTTTACTAGCTTTATTTTACCGCCTTACCTTTGATTCTCAAAATCATGTTACATTCATGCTTGGCATATGACTGTATGTAGGACACAAATGCACGTAAACCTTTTTCATACACTGCCCTAAAATATCAAGTAAAGGTAAACAGAATTGATAAATTAAAACAATGAACATTGATGGAAGGAGACACATCATGCTGACCAATGCTCTGATGATATGGCTTTTAAAATTAAACACAAGATCAACATACCAAATCATAGATTTTGATCTCTGTTGAATAAATCTCAATTCCTTTCCACCGCCAAATGTAATAACTTACTTATATTATTAAAACATATTAAAAAAAAAGAAAAAATATTTTAAGTCAGTGCAAGTAGAAGACTTATGTTGCTCGTTAGATCTCAGTGATGGTGAAAGATTGCAAGATGGCTTATTTGAAGTTCTCCCAGAACGAAATAGAAATATTTAGAAATATATAGAAATGCCTATGTGCCGAATTATAAAATTAAAAATTATTTAAAATATCAGTGGCTTAGAACTAAAACAATACTAATTGTAATTCAATTTTAATTTCTAAAATGAAGATAAAAACAGTTTAATTTTGGATCACCTGTCATTAACAGCAAGTGTTTGGAGCCTTGTGCACATATCCACCACCTCATCCAACTTTGTCATTTCTAAAAGGGGAACTTTTTGGTTTATTTCAATAAACTTTATGTATGCATCTTCTGAGGGAAGAAGAAGAACCAAGGCGTTTCCTTGGTTACCGATACGAGCTGTGCGACCGCAGCGATGAACGAATGCACTAGAAGAAAAAAAACAAACTTTTATTATGACTTTTTTTTTTAATGTAGAACCATAAACTTATTTTTAAAATTACATGTCTTTGATATTATATGCTGAAGGTCATATTGAACCGACTAAAACCATATGCCGACAGAATCATTGCTGAAGAACAGGCGGGCTTCAGACAAGGACGGGGCACTACTGAGCAGATTCCAATACTCCGAATACTGTGTGAGAAATATGCTCAACACCAACAAAACATATACCAAGTCTTTGTGGACTTCAAGAAAGCATTTGACAGGGTTTGGCATGCTGCTTTATGGGCCACCATGAGGCACTACAACATCAACACAAACCTCACCACAATGATATGCAACCTCTATGATAAGGCCACCAGTGCAGTCTTCCTGAACAACAACATGGTTCAAGACCACGGTTGGAGTACAAGGCTGCCTGCTCCTCCCCTCCCCCCCACCCCCCCCCCCCCCCCAACGAAGAAGAGCTAGCCAACCTGGTAAAGCGTCTTGATAAAACCTCTTCGTCCTATGGCATGCTAATCAGTGCTGAAAAGACAAAACTGATGACAAATAACACCACAGGCATCATCACTGAAATTAAGTTTGGGAGGAAAGACTAGAGACTGTAGGCCGCTTCAAATAAGCCCAAATAGATGTCCAGGATTGCGCAGACTACAAAAGCACTAAAGAGGCTCAAGAAAATATGGAATGACAAAAATATAGCCCCCAGGTCCAAAATCAGGCTGATGCGCTCATTAGTCCTCTCCATTTTCCTGTATGCCTGCAAATCCTGAACATTAATAGCCGATCTTGAAAGGAAAATAAAGTTGATGGAGACGAGATGCTTCAGAAGCATTTTTTACATCTGCTATAGGGACCATATCTCCAATGATACAGTGAAGGAAAGGGTTCGCCTGTCAATTGGGGAGTACGATGACCTACTGGTGACTGTGAAAAAACGCAAACTACAATAGTACGGCCATGTAACAAGGAAACAAGGGCTTGCCAAAGAAATCATGCAGGGCACCACAAGAGGAGGGAGAAGAAGAGGAAGACAAAGAAAAAGATGGGAGGATAACATCAAAGAGTGGACAGGACTAACACTGGGCGATGCTGTGCGCAGTGCAGAAGACAGAGACGAATGGAGGAGGATAGTTCACATGTCATCTGTGGCAGAGGAAGACAAAGAAAAAGATGGGAGGATAACATCAAAGAGTGGACAGGACTAACACTGGGCGATGCTGTGCGCAGTGCAGAAGACAGAGACGAATGGAGGAGGATAGTTCACATGTCATCTGTGGCACCCCAATGGTCAAAGGACTAAGGGACATGATGATGATGATGATATTATACAAAAAATGTTTATATGCATTAAATGTATGCCTTTTTTACCATTTTAAATTTAGAGGGAAAAGAAATATTTTTTTGAACAAAAATAATTAAACACAAACCTGGCAGAGCTTGGAGGATCGTATTGTATTACCCAGTTAACATCTGGTATATCAACACCCCTTGCCATCACATCAGTGCATATCAATATTCCACTGGAGAAAATTTTCATTAAAAAGATCAGGGTTAGAAGTAAATGTTTTTAAATTTACATAAAAACAGTAAGCAATTGTATTTTATCAGCTCTTTATGAACATTATTTTATCAATAATTAGGTAACAGTATCTTGAGTTATTGCAAGTACAATAATTTTTGGTCTAAAATGTTCAAAAACTGATCTTGCTTAGCAGTTATAAAATTCTCTATACATACATTATACTATTAGTACTTTGTTATATCTTACCTTTTCATTGACCTAAAAGCTGAAAAAACTGTGTTTCTTTTGTTTTTAATTTTACTATGAATTAATAAAATTTCTGATTTCTTTAGAATTCTGCAAAAATAAAAGCAGTTAATGAGTCATAACAACTTTTATATTAAATTTTACATTTCCTATTTGAAATGCAATGAAAATATCATAATTTTATCATTTTAAAAGTCATGCAAAGTTTTATACATTTACATAAATGCTAATTGAAAAATTTCTAAGTAAAGAAAACTAATATTTAATTTACCATAAAATATTTAAATGATTTCTAAAATTTCTCCAGTCTTCTTTCCTTCAAACTGTTAATCTATCTAAGCTAAAAAAAACATTCCTTAAGTGTCACGTTTAGTTTGAATCTAAATTCAAATTTTAACAAATTAAATATACACTCATTTAAAAATGAGAATCATTTTTTAAAAATGTTCAATTTGGTAATAACATAATTCAAGTATATATTCAAATTCAACCTCATATTCTATTGACTTACTGTTGTAGACATAAAGAGAAGTAATCTACACATGCACATGTACTGAAAAATATCATGATTTTCTCCTTTTTATGAAGTTGAAGGAATCTTACAAGTTGACTAAATTTGTCATCTGCTTCAACTAACTGTAAAAAAATATATAAAAAATTAATAATATATAAGATATAGTTCACCGTATCCTTGAAAACAGTAGATTTTTAAATTGCCTGCATAAAATACAAACCAAGTTATTTGAATTTTAATAACAAGATACCGGTATTTGATATTTGGTTGGAAAATTGGTCAACATTAACCAGTACGTTGGAAATTTTTTTAAAATGTCTCAGTCTTGGGAATCTCAAGTTATAACTGCTTGATGTGTGTGACTTATAAGATGTCCCTTATCAGCATTTGAATGAACAGCCCAAAAGTTGTTTCATAAATAACTTCCTTTTTTAAAAATCTAAATCTCTAGTGATATAAATGCTTGATTAAATCTTATTTTTACACTTTTGAAGTTTATATTTTTAAAACTTTTTATTAGTAAAGAAACAAAATTAAAACAAGAATTTTTTTTTAAAAGGCAATTAAAATGTAAATAAAATTGGCCTTTTTTTTTTTTTTTTAATTTAATTAAAAAATGTAAAAGTAAGAGGCTACAAAACAGAAAGGAAATCATTACCATATAATAATTTTTTAGCAAGAAAGGTGTTTTTTGACTTTTGCCTTCTTTAGTGGGCTTCTCTTTTACTGTTATCTGCAGTGGATTTCTTAGTCCTGCTCTTATTAATTTTTCTACTTCATCTGTCTGTGTGGCTGAGAATAGCCCAGTTCTTCGCAGCTTTGGTAAATAGCTCAGGATTGTATTGATGCTGTTAAAGACAGGGATATGTTGATACTCTAGTCAACAACTGTAGATTTTTATGTTTATTTAACACACAGACTTAGCAACTGCACATTTATAGTATAGCAATGAATATACTGAAAGAGAGCGTAGACTTCAGATACAAGCTAACTGTAGGAGAATCATAAAGTAAAGAATTTTTATAAATATATTTACCATTGATGTAGATGAATTCCAACATAATTTATTTTAAGTGTTCAGTACATTTTCATTATGAATAACCAAAGCTGTAGTTAAAATACACTTTAAAAATCATAAATTAAAAGGCGCATTTTACAGCATTTAAATTTCAGCTAAATCAAATGATGCTTTAAAAGTGACATACCTTGCTTCAAAACCCATGTCTAAAAGTCTGTCAGCTTCATCTAGAATAAGAACTTCCTAAATGATTTGAAAAAGTTAATGAAAAATAATAGAAATTAAACAGTGGTTTCTATTTCAGAACTTGGTTAATCTAAATGAGATCATCAGTTGAAGAAAGATGCAAATATTAATGGAAGTTACAAACAATATCAATGGTTTATACTTTTTATGATGGATTTAGAAAATGTTTAAATCACATTTTCTCCTAAACTACAGTATAGAGAGTACTTTTAAATTAAAACCACTTCTTGAATTATATTATGGTTATAATCATTGTGTTTGAACTCTTACTAAAGACTTGACACTTCCTGCCAAATTGAAACCACCTTCTTTCCTTTGAAACAAATCCTCCAGGCGTCCTGGTGTGGCTATGATGATATGACCGCTGAGATGGGAAAATAGGACATGATTAATTAAACAGACCTGTTTACCCTGAAACTCTTAAAATCGTACAATATCATCACAAAATCGTCAATACATTATCTTAATAGTAAAAAAATAAACATACAGCATATATAATGTATACACCTCAAAATTGTACATAGTACGCCAAAATTGTAAGAGTAAACAGGTCTGATTAAATTAACTTCTCAATTAACATCTAGATGTAGTATGTACAGTTCCCATTAGATACTGGACACAATTCAAATTTTGGTTTTATATTGAAGCAAAAAACATTTTCGCACTAATTGTGTATTTTTATATGAGTAAACACAAAGAAATACTAAAATAAATTTGACAATGGTTCATGTTTACAAGCATGGACATTTTTAACCCACGAACTGTGGCATGTATCATTCTGTGGTTTGGAGCTTTTTAGAGCATTTTGAGTGCAATTTGAAATTGCATTAAATGACATAGAAATATTGATACAAGACCCCTATAAGTATATATTTTTAGAAAGGTAAATGGATGGGGATAACGTTGGCCATATTGCTCACCCCGTAAAAAAATTTTGCTCCGTGTCCTTGACCTTGAAGTTCTCAAGAAAACAATATTGACAAAATGTCTTGCTTTCAAGTGCTCATAACATCATTAATTTTTATAGATACACTTAAAACACAAATCTAAATGTTGAATCCAATTCATTTATCTTTCAGAAAATGTATAGTTTGCTGAGGTTTTGATTGCAATTAAACCTCTGAAAGCAATTTTTGTAATTTTAGGTCATTTATATAAGAAACTGGGACCACTGCTAAAACCAAATACAAAATACAAAATCTCAGGCAAAATAGTTATTATTGACTAATAAACATTTAAAAAGGAACTGTGGAACTGATTTGGGTTGTTTAACTATAAAATGTATTAGTTCTGAACTATAATCTGTAGCTTCTGTGACTAAAATTCTGTCAGACCTTGCCCAACCTCCGGGCGGGGCTCAAAGTCTAACAGTAGCCTCAGTAGGCCTACTTTAGTATCACTAAGATGAGTATAAAATTCACGAGAAGAATAATCTCAACTGATATCGTCATGGGGAATGTTAAAATCATCACCAGTATCACTTATAACCTCAACTAAAAAGCTTTCAAACATATTTCTATTAGTTCTTGCCATGAAGGCCCAGCCATGGCTTCAACCATTTTAGCTTTAAAAAAAAGACGATGTAAAACTCAGATTAAAAAGTATTTATTTTCAAGTTATCAACGAAACAGCTTGAACCAGAAGATTATTTAATTATTAATAAAAGGAAGTGGCTATAATTCCGGTTAAATATTGGATTGGAAGTTGCTATCGGACCGTGTTTTTTATCGGCCGATTTTTTTGGCCGCCACAGTACAGAACGAGAAAGTCTGCCGATTTTTTCGGCCGACCACAGTTCGTGGGTTAAAAAAAAACTGCAATGTCTATTGAAAAACATAGTTAATTTAAGTATAAAATCATTTATTTTAACAATAGTTCAGTAGTCATAGATTAACAACAGATGTTTTTGCAGTGAATTTAAATTGTGAATTTTTTGCACTGGTACATTTTTTTTAAAAATTTCTAACAAGTTAATGATGAAAGAAGGAAAACATCAATAAATACATTAAATTTATATAAAATAACTAGACTTTTTTTTCATCTCATTAAAACCAAATGTTTTTTTCAAAAGTTTTTATGGAGTAAAAGCTTAAAAGAATTTGCAACAGATCTGAAATTTACTAACTATTTCGTTACCCATTTGCCATAAATTTATCTATGTCTGCTTGGGGCTTTTCTCCTCCAATGAAAAGACATGAGGAAAACTGTGGTAAGAACTTAATGAAATGCAGGACCACCTCATTGATCTGAAATGCCAGCTCTCTTGTTGGTGTCAGAATGATAGCACCGATCTGTTGATAAGGACATAAAACACATAGGCTGAAAAATATTAACGACATGGATGCATTCAATGCTATTTAAAATTATTCTACCATTATCATTAAAGTAAGTTTGTAATAATAAGAGTGTTGAGACCCGCTGGTCCTCACCTTAGTGAGACCCTCTGGCTCACACTCTCTCCATCGTTACCCCACGTGACATTACGCAATTAGGCTGGGCCTTACACTAATAACAATGACTCAATGAACGATGGAAATTAACCTGGTCACCGCGATGCTGAACGCGACGCTTGAAAGCGGGACAGGACACCAAACAGGAGTATATATATTGAAGGCCTTAATCATTTATCCCCCTCTTTCACCTAAGTCTGTCAGTAGAGCCTAACTGGCATAATTAGTTGATAAAGTTTGTTTATCCAGATTGTATTGGGTTAGTATTGTTAATTTTCATATTCATGAGTACCGGTATGTAGAATTGTATTTGTAGTTTTATTAAGAAAATGTTAGGACTATACTTACTGTTGAGTATGATTGATTATTAATAATGTGATGTGATTTTAATTGTTTACCTATGTCTTGTCTATGTGTTGTATTTGTTATTCTCATTTCTAGCCAGTAAGTAATAGTTCAGTAAGTAACAGTTGAGTTAGTAACAGTTGGTCTAGTCTGAGTTAGTACCAGTACAGTTTGAGTTAGCTTGAGCTAGTACAAATAGTACAGTTGACTTTAGTCTCAGTATAGTGAGCTAATTTAGACTCAGTACAGTTGAGTACAGTTCAGTACATTAGAACTTAGTACAGTCGGTATAGTATACCGCAGAGTATAGACCACTCAGTACAGTTGAGTCATTAGGCCTATTAGAAAAACAGAGACGGGAGTGACCTGAAACCAGTTACGCCACCGAGACGCCCGCAGTGCGCCGTGACCAGTGACCAAAGCGAAAGGGAGGCCAAACCATCAAGGCAGCTGTGTGTATGTGTGTTGGACCTACGCCAGTCGGAACATAATAATTAATAATATTGGGCAGTATATCTCGTTATCCTTTATATGTGTAAAGATAAGTAATGTGTATGTAGATAATTCTTTTTTTTTTGTAATTTAATATTTATTTGCGGGCTGAACCACCTTTGTTTTATTAGTATATTTATAGTATTAATAGAAGTGAGAGCTAGTGAGAGTGTCATTGAATGTTAAAGTGAGTGTGGAGTGAGATTAATTTTCAGTACTTAATTAGGAAATATATAGTCATACCCTAGACATAGCCCTAGTGGCCGTACTAATCTAAAGTAGAAGAAGGGATCTTTTGTTTTTAAAACATAAACACGAATATTTAACAAAGAGTATATCAAATGTCTTACCTCATGTTTTTTAATTGGCACCTCACTTCTGCAAAGCATTTGCATCATAGGTACAACGAACGCTAAAGTTTTTCCACTACCTGTTACAGCTTCAACAGCCACATCTTTATTGCTAACAAACTGAGGAATACAAGCTGCCTGCAAAAAAATAAACACGCCCACTGGTTATTCTCCTTTTGAAAACTACCAGTACTAACAAAATTGTATTAATGACTCAACATAAGGCTTGAGATCATTTCATTTCTCTAGAGAAGGATGTGACCATCTAGTCGGGGATCATAAATTTAAATTCTTTATTTAAAAACCTTAACAGACTCGCCTATTTTTTTAATCCCATTTCAGTATTGTATTCCGGTATTTTGTAATACACTAATAATCCTTATTCCATCGAGACAGAAAAGACAGAGGAGGAGGAGTACTTGTTGCTGGACTGCCACGCTGTTCCAGAACTTGATGTTGATAACTGCGAGCTTCTGTGGGTGAAAGTGAAACTGAAGGGTAGACGCACACTCTACGTTTTGACCCAACACAGCAGATGAACCAAGCCTGAGGAGGCTCGAGGTATCGCTTCATAGAGCAACACAGTCGAAGAACGCTTTGCTCCTTATAGGTGGGGATTTTAACTTTCCTTGTTGGAACTGGCAGATTCATGCCTTGAAGCCCCAGTCCCCATACCCTGTCCTACACTAAGAATTCATGGAGATGATTAACAACTATGGTCTGAAACAGCTGGTTAAAGAGCCTACAAGGGTTGGGAAACACTCTTGACCTATTCCTCACCAACTGTCCACATCGCATCCCAAAAGTTGAAATCATCCCCGTGATATCAGACCACTGCATGCCATATTGTGAATTTCAGGTCAACACACTTAAAAAGAAACAGATCATATGAGAAATCCCAATTTATGCCAAGGAAGACTGGGACAGCCTGAGTAGTGCAACGACAGAGCTGAGCTCAAACATGCAGGAGATTCAGGGTACAGCGACAACAGAAGAGCTGTGGGTGAAGTTTAAGATAATCAATGATGCAGTGAAGAAATTCATACCACACAAGACCACCAAACCTAAGATAAATCAGCCATGGGTCACGGCTGAAATCCGTAGGCTCATCCACAGGAGAGACCGCCAATACAAGCGATTGAAGAAAAATGGCTCGGTTGAACTGAGAGAGGTGCTGAGGCTCCGCCGAACCATCTAATGCTTATTGCGCAGATCTTACTGGAACTACCTCAATGGCATCTTCTCAGAGGAAGAGCCTCCGACCAAGGGTGTCAAGAACAAGTGCTTCTGAAGCTATGTGAAACACTAAAAGTCCTCAAACGCTGGAGTTTCCCCCCTGAGGTGGGATGGCCATTTGACATCTGACCCAAAAGCACAGGCTGACATACTCAATCAGCAGTTCCAGTCGGTCTTTGGTGATGGTAGAGCATACTCGGAGCCCGAGTTCCTTCTGAAGACCAACATAGTGAACAGAGCCTACCCCGTCATGGAAAATATCCAGATTTCAGAGCAGGGTTTGGCCCGCCTTAAAACCATTAACCCCTACAAAGCATTTGGTCCTGACAACATCAAACCATGAGTGCTCAAAGAATTAGCCAAAGAAATCGCTCCTGCACTGACAATCCTCTTCGAATCGTCGCTGTGCACAGGCAATGTTCCCACAGACTGGAGAACAGTGCATGTCACTCCAATCTACAAGAAAGGGGAGCATTCCGACCCAGCCAACTATCGTTGATATTCCTCAACAGCATGGTATGCAAACTGTTGGAGCAAATAATCGTAAGCATAGTCATGAGTATTAAATATATATTGTTCAAGAGTATGTAAAATGACAACCATGATCAGTTGTACGATAATAAACATATAGCCAATAATATTACCTGTACTGGTGTCATTTTAGAAAAATTCAAATCACCAACAGCCTGAAGAATGGTGGCATCAAGAATGTTCTGAAGTTTGCTCCAGTTCTGATCCATTATAGCCTATTGACAGTAGGGCAGTGCTATTTCTCAGTCCCTAAAACTGTAGAAATATGGAATTTTTGTATTTTAAAGATTTCAAGTGCATTGTTAAGTTCAGTTTATAAATTATACTTAAATGCTGGAAGACTGCCCCAGGACACACACAGAGCTGTCAACCCCACTAATCTATGAGTGTTGTATAAAATTATTTCATTACATGTCGCTATGAACAACTATATTCATTAAAATAATATTTCCAGAACGTTTTTTATGATCTATGTCTTCAATCTACATCTTTAAAATACACAAAATAAGTTGTAGGCCTTTATAGTTTAATGGCATTGTAAAGGTTTGGGAATGTATCTTACTGATTTGTTAACAATTTTAGGCCCCTAAATAAGGTCATAATAAAAAATACCACTAAGTCTCACTAAAATACAATTTGGTGAACAAAGGCCAACATAAATTTACTTGCTTCACACCATTTTCATATCATCGTCAATGAAATTCATGCTTGGCAAACAACATTGGGTAGATGGGAAGCAGGGTCGCAAACTCAATAAAATAAAATTTTACTGACAATTATTCTAATAAAACTTCACAATTTTTATGGAGCAAAAAAAATTTTTTACAGGTGCATTTAAAAAAAAAAAAAACTTGTTGAAACTATAAAACTTGTTTTAAAAATTTTCAATTATTGGTACTACTAATTTTTTCTGAATCTGTGTACTATATCATATATGTATGAATTTGCTTCTAAAATGTCTATGTCTCTAAGTCTATATCTCTATCACTTAAATCACATATGACGATAAGAATGAGCCTATCTTTTTATTGTATGTCAAATGTCAGTAATAAAGGGGAGAGACTGCAATCAGGTTAGCAAAAAAGGAAATGAGTGAAAACAAAGGATGGGAAAACCTAAAAAAAAAAAAAAAACGCTAAAAAACAACGAATATGTCGACAAAAAGCCTTCATAAGCGATCAAACACTTTATTTTCAGTCATTTCCCATTTTATTGTATGCCATTCAGTGTTATTGAATTTCTTTATTATCATACAGGTTTAAAGTTGAAAGCAAGCAAGAAAGAGTCACAAACTTTCAGTTTCAGATTTTCAGTTTTGTTATGCTTCAGATTTTCTTACAATGTCTCACGTATAGAAATGTTGATATTTTAGAATAAATTGAACAAGAAGATTGACATGATAATGATGTGATGTGCATAACAAACTGAGCCCTGGCCCTGTGCAAACTATAATTCACACTGGACTTAACTCGCTATACCCAGTTACTTATTAATAATAGTTTATAATTTATATAATAATCCTATCTATTACTATTACTATTTTTATTATTATAGATTTAGATTTTGATTAATAAACCATTCTCATTCTCAATGAAATAATGAATAATGATTATGATTGAAATTGAATTAGAATCTCATGAAACTGTTAAAATAAATCTGAAAAGTGAGAGTGAATAACTTAAATTACTGAAACTAAAGTGTCTGAAAACTGACTGAAGTTGAAGTCGCTGAAGACTGACTGAAGAATAAGACGTAAGATTAAGTCAGATGTTGACGATACATTTTTTAATGATTTTATGAAAATGAAAGGTTATTATTATAAATTACCGTTAATTTGAAATAATTATTAATAAGAGCAAAATCCCTTGAGGTTTAAAAACCTACTGGTATCATTTATGCATTAGAATGATCATTATGTGATAGCAGTTTTAGAGAAATTAATTCAATATCAAATACGGAAATATCCATTTAGTGTAATTCAATATACAGCCATGTGCTCAACTACTAAAACATAAATAGTGTCACGTTGTAGTTCTATTTATAGATTGCATTTTATTGGTCCAATCTCATCATGTATAAGTATAAATATTATATGTAATAATTAGTGCAATGTGTTTATTTTTTTATAACATGATTTTTATATCATTGTTTTTATTTATTTTTTAAAATTTGAAATTGTAATGAATAGTTATGCATAATGACGAGTCATTCTATTTTTGGCTCAATATTATCGACAAGGTGCGGCCATCTTTGCTGGGAGGATTTTGCACACGACACTATAATTTTCTGTGACGTAATTACCGTATTCTTTTTTGATACTAGTGTCCCTCTATATTGGTTGCGTATAAATAAAATTTAGATAATCCTTTATTTAAGTTCAACGTCGTGACAAACTAGAACAAAAATAGAATTACACAGTACAGGTTCTGATAGCATTACGTTTAATTTAAGGCCAAACCGCCTAACCATAAAATTAAAATGAGTTGAAAATAAAGTTATGCAAAAATTATGCTGTTATAATTCTAATATTTGTGTGCATATTTTAATTAGTATAATAAGTTGTACCATCACCCAGAGGTTGTTTTTTTTTCGAGAAAAATTAGCTTAAAACTTAAATGGAAGTTAATAAGCATACTCATATGCCCAGAAGGCAAGGAATTATATAATATAGTTTTATAGTTTTAAACTTTAAATCATATCTGTATCATACTAAATGTCTCTATTAAATGACAGTTACATGAATCTGATATGTGAAAGAACTTGTTTCTTTTAAATCGGGCAGATTTTTAATATCTTAAAATGCATAAATAATGCATTACCAACTTGGAGAAAGTCACAGTTCACTGACTGACACTGAGACTTAGTAAAAAGTAGACTCATAATTTAGATAATGAAATATTATTCTCGTCATATGTACTAATTATGTAAATAACAATTTTTGTGGAGCTTTAATCATGATTAGACAATAAACAAATTCAAACGTTTCAGTAAATACTTTCTTTATTAGGCCTACCAAAAAAATTTTTTTATAAGTTTAAATTAATTTACATAGTCTACATATTATATATTATCTTTATCTAATGATACCTAAAAATGAAAGAAAATAATAAGTATGACCACGGGCCCTAGCCCTAGCGAAAACAAAGATCCGAGGAACTGAAAGAAAGTGGGTGGAAGTCATAAACCATACGCATAAGTCGCGGCATATGTCGTATGAACTGTCAATCTATTATTTTATTTTTTTTTAAATTTTATTTTATTGTATTTTGGAAAAGAAATAATATGTGTAATTATAATTTATACATCTGGGGGTTTAATGTTAAAAATTGCAGTTTAATGGAGGTTACATATTTTAGAATTTTAAAGAAAGTTACTTTATCACTTATCGTAGTTCAACCCAATGCCCAATGGAAGTTTAAATAAGTGAATAAGTGCCCCTTCATATAATTTGATAGAATTCCTTTCTTTGATCCTGACTGATTATTGTTAGCTTCTTTTCATGTTAAAGCTTTAACAAAATTCGTTTCAGCTAAACATTTTTAATGCCTAAAATAGCATTCTAATTTCAAATTTGGCCACGCCAGTTTTTGTTGATGATGCATTTTTTATTTGGGTGATCATGAGCTGTTCACGCATATTGTTTCTTGTTTTCATTGGTTTATGTTTTATTATCCAAGATGGGGATTACTTTTCTGGCGTAGTAATTTAGACGTGGCACTTCCGTCAAAATGGTTGACAACTTGAAAATGAAAGTATCCGAATGTCACCTAAAGATCACAATCGCTGCTTAATACTTGCTACCTGTTGCTATATACGTTACTTATTTATGAACAGGTTCGAGCTAAGCATTAGTAACATCCAGACCGTGGCCTATTTACAGTTAAACATAAAAATAATATTATTTTTTTGAATATTTTCTAGAACTATTTTGACTTAGTACTAAGACAAGCCTAAGCCTAAGGACTAAGGAATTTTGTACTTTTGTTTTTTTTCTTTTATCGAGTACAAACAAACTCCCCGAAAGGTTGGCCAAATCTAATAAAATGTCTAATAATTATAATTTCTAACTGGCTATCCTATAGCCTTTATAGGCCTATACAAGGACTCATCAATAAGTAGTCCATATTCATTATTAGTATTTTATTATTTGGGCTAAGTCGCTAAGTTATGGTATTTAATTTTCAAAATTAAGGTACTTACATTCATACACATAGTATCATAGTCACAATGAGAATGATTGTGCCAAGTGAAGCTGAGCAGAAGTAGGCTCAGTTTCAGTAGGGCCTGCCCCTTTTTAAAACCATGTTATATGTTTATGTCTGTTCTGTTGTTATAAGTTAGTAAGTTAGATTAATTAGATGCAAACAATAATTGCTTTTTAACTAAAACAATATATGATCAGCTTTAATGATGATTTTACAAAATACAAATGTAAACATTATAATTAATAAGTTATGGGATCTCTGTTAGTGTACTATTTTTTTATTGTTGAAAATAATTAAAGGCTCCCATAATTAAATGATATTTGTAGCCTAAAAATATTAATAGGACTATAAGGAGATTATAGTTGTATAATAATTAATAATAGTAATAGGCATTTAAAGTAAGACTTAAAGCATGTTAGCCAGGGCTTTAGTAGGCCTATTATTGACCTATCACTATGTGTCCTATCCAGCCTATTCTACCTAATAATTAAGAGTAAGATACTCATAACTGTATTGGCAAGTATTGGGAATAATTTGGGGCCATGTGTAAGTGTTCAGTGTATCAACTTAACTACACAATTTTTTCACATACTAACTAAAGTGCTAGAGTTTTGTTAGACTTGTTAAACCTAAATAGTCAATAGGCTAAGTAATACCAGCGTAGTAGGCCTTGTATAGGCAAATATTCAGCCCAAGTATTATTGCAAGGCATGGCCCTAAATAATATCTTAAAACATTTAACATTTTTTTACAAAAATAGCTATGAGGCCTAATCATTTTTCTTTCAGAATTACCATTTACTCAGAGTGAGATCATAGCAAGTTTGGATTTCGTCAGGATAATAAATCTAGTTCATCCAGTAGACAGTAGAGGTGATTGCTGTATCTTTTTTACATTTTGCAGTCATGGCACGTCTTGTAGCTATTTGTGAACCTGACATTAATTTTGAGTTTCAGCGAAGGCAGGTGCCAATAGAAGTTGATAATATGAAGGTAAGAATAGGCAAAATTTCTCCTTGTCCGAAGTATTAGGACTGATAACAGTCATTATCTATTTTCCTTAAAAATCCCTTTTTGTAGGCCTCATGTCATGAAGTAGTTTTCAAGGTTATTTTTAAGGTTTTTAAAAACCCTAAGCTTTTATAATTTGGCTTATACAATTTATGAAATAACTTAAGTTATACAGACTGACAAAACAATGACCAATAGTGCACAGAGCTCTGATTTTATTACACTATGAATTGATTTTAATGTTTTAATTACTTGGTTCTTAGATGGTTGTTCAATTCAGTGACAAGTGTGTTGATTGCGAAAAATTATGTGGTGTGAAACAGAAAGATCTTGAACTCTTTACCAACAAATTTAATACACTCACTAAAGATGAAGTATCCGTTGCACTGCTGGTGTCAGGCAAAGACATAATGAGTTTACTATCTCATATGGTGCCTTGTGTAGGTTGCAGAAAAAGGTTTGTAAATAATCTAATTTCATAAAATTGTTTATTATATAGATTAATTGCAGAAAATATCAATAATGAAACACATTAGATGTTGCTTTGTTTTAGATTTTAAAAATTTGAAACAAATAGGGTCGAAAAAATAGGTTCATTAGTAAGTAGTTCAAATAAGAAAATTTTTTGACAAGTTATGAAATGTCTGATATTGCTATAGTATTAAGATTATTTATGCTGAATTTTTCTTCTCAGTGTGGAAAGATTATTCCTTCAATTACAAAAATCACAGCATCCAGCCTTAGAGCCCTTAGTGATAACACCAAGAGGAGAAATGTCCGTCCAACATGAGTATTTGTTTGATCCACGCTCGCTCTTTGCATTATTTCATGTGCATGGGTATGTTGGAAATTATTAACCATTAAATATTTTAAAAGTGATTTAGATGATCGAACTGTTACATTTTTGTGTACTAGTGTCAAAGTATCTAAAATGTCTTCTCTTTTTAACAAAGATCATCATTGCATATGTTTTAAATACCTTCCTGCCTAACTATTATTTCACCTTCATGATTTTATTTAAAAGTAAGTATAACAAAGGCTAGTGGAGAACATGGTTTTTTCTTCTTTTTAATTAAAATGCTTTCCATTACATTACTGTCATATTCCTATGCATATTTTTAAGAATATTTTGAACACAACTCTCCACAGTTCCAAACTTCATTCTGTTGTTGAGTCAATACCAAAAAGTAAGAAAAACAAGAGGTGCAACTTACATTCTCTAGAGACCCACAAGTCACGGACATTAGGGTAAAATGGACATTTAATTAATCACAACTTAAAATATCTCTAGCATATTGTTAGTTTATCAAGCTTATTTCTAAATTTTGTGCAATATATTTTCTTTATGTTTCAGTATAATTATAATAATTTTTAATTACTTTCTTGTTTAATAATGAATGTTTTCATGATCCCTTATTGCATGTACTATTTAAAAGCTTTGTTGGATTTGATTTTTTGGTCAGGTGTTGGTTAGATGCCTGGGATGCACTTTCAGAGTCATGTAGAGAAAAAGTTCTAGTGGTTGATATGAAACGTCTGCTAAATACAGTAGATTCATACCTTGATAAACATAAGTAAGTTAGCTCCATACTAGCTGTAATTATTTTATTAAGAAAAATGAGGTGAAAATAAAATAGTGGTTTTCACTATCCATTGCTAATCTCGTAGTATGTTTACTTTTGATTATTAGGCTCTGAAAACTAATTAATCTATAAATAATGTTTTATTGATGTGATCATATTTGTATCCTAGATTTTGTGGGGAGTGTAAATCCAAGGTGATGTTAGCGTACAACATTCTTATTGGGGAGGTGGACAGCTCCACGGAAAAGGGTTACTGTGCAGCTCTCTATGAAAACTTGAGGTGTTGTGCCAAAGAGAGGCATGTGCATGTTCTTAATGACACAGACTTTATTGCTCATTTGTTAGAGAAAGCAGAACCAGAATTTTTAGGGGGGTAAGTCCTTATTAATTGTTATAATAATTATTTGTAAGAGAATGCTGGAGTCCTATTGTTCTATCATACTAAGGTTTTATGTTTCTGAAATAGCCTCTTTCTGTTGTAAAATTTGATTACCAGTATTTAAAAAGTTATTTCTGTAAAGATTATCTAGTTGGGTTTCTGATGTTCAGCTAATTTTTAAATAGCTGATTCGGCTCACCTTAAATTCTTCTAATATTGCAGACATTTGTTTCTCTCAGAAGAGAAAGAGGTATGCTAGGTAGTTAATCTACTACCAACCCCTTAGGAAATTAAGATACACCAAGACTCGTGAAAATTATATCCTTATGACTGCAATATGCCAACAGCAATTCAAAATGCATTTACAGCATCAATTTTATCATCTTTTATCATTGCATTCTATTCTTCTTTCAGAAAAAGAGACAGACATGCAAAAACCTTAGATATAGCTCAAGAAGAGGTTCTCACATGCTTGGGAATTCATATATTTGAGCGCCTCCATCGCATCTGGCAGAAGCTGCGTAGTGAGGAGCAGACTTGGCTTATTTTGTTTTATATGGGAGTTGATGCATTAAGGAAAAGTTACCAGGTTAACTGTGATATTAAGCTAATAATCATTTTCATCAAGTTATGAGAGGTTTATCACAATTAGATATACTTTAAAATGTATTAACAGGGCATAGTATTGATTTATTAATGAAATATCTTGACAAATATATGAACAATAGAAACTATTTTTTTTAAAAGAAAATTATTTACATTTTCAATTAAGTTAAGTAAGGAATTGTGTTGAAAGATATAGAATAGTTATCTACAAGAAGGTATCAATTAATCTCTTAGACTGCACTTGAAGAAAAGCAAGGAGCCTCAAATCTGGAACTGCTCTGTGAAGAACTGGAGGAGAAGGAAAAGAGACAAGAAGAACGTAAAGAGCTGAAGCGACAGAAGAAGAAACAAAAGAAAGCTAAAGCTCAAGTGTGTTCTGTAGCTATGATCAACTCGTGTTCTGACATTTTAGGGATTACTAAAATCCCATGCCAGGTAGGACTCCTAAAAAATATCTACTTCAACAACTAGGCTCTATTGATGTATTCACCTAATTATAGATAACTCTAGCCTTGATGAGGGCAGAGAAAGCATCAGGACATTCAAAATAGGGTTGCACCATAAGCAAATTAACAGATAACTGATAATGTTGATTTTTTAAACGTTGATTATCTTAAATGTCCTTTATCCAAACTGCCAATCTTTTTTATTATTATTATCATCGTAATCAATGCAAGTTACCATAAATCAAGTATTGGCCCATAAGAAACTCATAACAAACCTAAAATTCACACTCCTGTTGCATAATCCGGGTAAATTCTTAATTTGTATTGTACATGCAGGGACCAGGGTTGGATAATGCGATCTGCAACCATTTATATTTATATATATCTATGAAAACATGACTGCAAAGACTAAGTGACCTCATGTTTTATTCTCTGTGTCATCTCTTTTTGGAAAATACCTCCTTTTTGCAGAAAAGTAATTCTAGTGCTTACCAGTTGTCGTTTTTTTTACATCAATCAGTTGAGACTGCTGAAGATTACTGTACTTAATACACTACAACAAAATTAAAAGTTTAATTTACAAAGTGGCAGTTCAAAGAGTATGGTGTTTAATCTGTGCAATCCATTTCAAACTACATTTTTTTTTCACCCTTAAGAAACTATAACAAATCATGTAATATTATAGAGTGAGATTAAAAATCTGTATTCAACCAATGTCTATTAAGTTGACTGAAGAGCTTTATTCATTTTTATTTGTATGAATTTAAATTATGATACTTAATAGGCACAGAAAGGTTCTTATAATAAGCCATTATTAAAATTATTGTATTGCAGTGTTCAAGCTTGGAGCCCAACAACAATCCAAAGAATATGAATTTACATCATCACCACAACAGCCGGAGTTCTTGCAGTGATGCAAACTTCAACTCTCTCACTGTGTCATTACAAGGGTGTGACCTTGGCCTCCAAGGCAGACAGGGTTTAACAGGTCGAGATGGCCTGGTCAGAGCTGATGGCTGGATCGACTCTTTAGACATGGACAGTTGTGAAAGTTGTAGCATGCATGGGTCAAATGAGGGTTCAGAAGGTAAGTAGCATTATGACAGTATTAACTGTGTATAAATATCAATAAATAAATTGATGTGTTGATCACATTCTTTGGAATTTTTCACGACAAAAGATATATACAAGTGTTAGTTAATCTTTTAAAATATCAAGCTGAAAATTTATTTGGATCTGTAACATTGTATTTGTTTACCTACTTGAGGATCATTTCTCATACTTTAGTATTTAATAGCCTCAACCATAGGAAATTAAACAAACTTTTTTTTTTGTTAACATTTTTGGGTACCAGCAACCAATATAAATGCAGTTCTTTTTGTCATTTTAGTAGTAAAGTTTCTTGAGGCATTTAAATTGTACTTCATGATTTAAAATAATTTGATCCTTACTTCAGAGGGGGAATGTTCTGGCTCGTGTACAGAGAGTGTCGACAGCTGTGAATGTGATATGTTAAGAGTCTCTCCCAAACGAGGAAGAGGACAACATCAGGTATGTAGGGGGGGGGGGGCATTGTCAAGACAGGGTCCTTAACAGGTATGTAGGGGGGGGGGGGGGCATTGTCAAGACATGGTCCTTACAAGACCAGATTGATGAGGGGGCAACATGGTTGATGGTCAAATGGGGTCCTATTTTACTGTTTTGCCATATGACATGTCATATTATGATTGAAAATGATAAAATATTTTGTGTTTTCCTCTTTTGTAGAATAATATGTATGTATATAAATATAAATCTCATGACTTGTACTGTCCTATCTTATTATTATTTCACCATTTTGTATCTGTAACTTATTCTCAATTTTTGTCTCCAGGTCAATTTTTTAGCTGGGTGCCATAGCAACAAATTTTCATTCCATGCAAGTGATCAGCCGTCACTACAAGACCTGCTAGAAGTATGTTGTTTACAATCTAATGTTTATTATGTCCAAGACATTCTCTATTTTTAAATCCTTTATATTTACTTTGCCTTTTTTTTTGTGGCTGGCTGGGTGGCAAAATCTTTGGCTAGCTAATTGACTGACTTACCCTCAAGATGTCAAGCTGAAACTTATAACATAGACTTGTTGCCCATGACAACACATTCTATCAAATTTTTAGCCCAGACCCCCAAAAATCAGTTTTTCTTGTTTTTCAAGGGCAAATTGAAGGAAAAATTCCTGATAGCTGCGTTAAATGATATTCTTTAAAATAATTTATTGCAAGTGCATTTGGTGCATAATGTTTTCTTTTGCCTTTCTGAAATAGTTGGTGAAATAGATATGCAGTGTAAAAGCGGTTGTGTCATTAGAATATTAATATAGCTCAGGGGCATGAAAAAAATGTGCGTTTGTGAGCCTGGGGGTGGGGTGGGGGGTTGACCTATTGGGATTCTTATAAAGTGCATTACTTGTATGCATGTTTTGTAAAATTTACCCCCCATTGCTCGATATTACATTTTATAAAGGATTTATAAAAAAAATATGTTTTTAAGGATTGTTTAATTTTAGCTTAATATAAGGCTGTTCATTTTAGTTGAAACATGAACTTCAAAGCACTATCTTGACATTTTGTTGTATAATTTTCTTGAAAACATATACAGAAGTTAAAAAAAGATTCCTAAAACATTGTTTATTTTTAGTACGGTATATTACTTGGATGAGAGAAAATAAACAATGCCTTAAAACAATTTTTTTATATTTTGGATTGGTCAGAAATATAAAATTCAGGGGCAGTTTACAATATTCTCTATTTTTTTCAAAATTTACCAAAATATTTTCAGGAGCTTTGCTGGGAAGAGGGTGATAGTGAAGATCCTGGTATTTCCGAGGAGGAAATTTTGGAATTCAAAGCCAGACAAGGTGAAGTTGACAGTAAACGGCAAAAGCTCCGACAGAACCTTCGACAGCGTTTTGAAGAGTTACATATGTCAAGACATGTTAATACTATGTAGCTCTCTTGCATGGAGAATGTATTCTAACTTATGGTTTATCTAAGTATAAATTACTTGTATGGTAAAAGGCAGGATTTCATAAATTTCTTTGTCGACATGGGGTAAATTTACAAACCAATTAGTTTGTAATCAGTCATGAAGCTAATTATGAACATATCTGAATAACCTTGTTTTTTGTTAGGTTGTTTTAAAAAAATTTATTTTAATTGCTGGTTTATTTTATTTAACATGACCTATCAGAGACTCTGTCAGTTTTTCCTGGTGCTAAATACTGTTTTTATTTTTTTAAATTGTCAAAATATTTTTAAAAGCAAAATCATCTTTTTTAAAAAGTGTTTGTGGAAATGCTTGTGAACGACCCTGAAACAGTGTACGCCCTGGAAATTGGGAGTCAAAATGTTATGTTTCAGTTGTTTTACTTTATTAAAAGTATTCAAATTCTGAAAAACATAGTGCTTGTGAAATGATGCTTTAAAAATAGCAATAGTATTGTGGAAATGCTGAGCTTTGTTAAGCAGTCTATTTTGTTTGTTAGCTTTATTTATTATTGTCATCTGAATTTTAATAAAAATGTGTTTGAGGTGAAGATTTGGAAAAAAAATTTAAGTTACTGGGCCAATATTTTCCCTTGGTGAATTTTATTGATTAATGCTGTTTAAGTTTTAAGGAGAGAATAGCTTTCAACAAGAAGACAGTGCTATATCACTTATGCAGCAGTATAAGGTTCCCGTAAATCCGTACAAAGGATTGGAGCCCAAGCCCAATAATTAAGAAAATAAAGACTAACCATTATTGATGAGAGCCCAAGAAATTACAGGAAACGAAAACTGGGGCTGACTTTTTATACATTCTTGTGTACTGGCAGCCGAGTTAGATAAATGTTAAAGTTAAAGTCTATCACACAGCCACACTTGCATTATTTTTACTACTGGTTGTACTTGGCGTTTCAAACTGGAATGCTGGAAACCACAATGGGCAAAGCAATGGTTCTAATTAGTGCCATAATCATCAATGTATGAGACGGTGTTGTCCAAACTTAACTCGTGTCCAAATGTTATTGATATTTTAATCTTCGATATTTGGACCAAATTAAAGGTTTTGCCTAATAAATGAAATCAAATTTATTTTACTATATATCTTCTTCTATCTGTAAACTAGATATCTATTTCTGTCTTTTATTTTTAAATATTGAAGAATACTGATAATATAAGCACATTAAAGTCCTTTTCACCTTAGTTATATAACTTTATAGGTAAGAAATGGTCAAGAGTATTATTTAAGATCTCAAGCTGTATATTTCTGTTCACATTAGCACTTTGACCTTTTCTTCAGAAAAACATAAAACCTGTGTGGTTATTATTAGATGATATGTTTCAGTTACAAGTTTCAGTCTCATATTTACTAAAAGACTGAGTAAATGTATCATCCAAATCATTTAATTTAACCCCCAGTTAAAAATGACCACTTATGGAAAGTCTCCATAGAATTTTTTGTCACTTGGATACAACTAGTGTTGCTTAAATAAGTACCATAATGGCTTCTCTTGGTGTTAAGCTTTCACAAGGGGGAGCTGTCTAAAAAGAGGTTGAATCACAAGTTCCTATTAGACCGAGTTCTATAAGGCATAAATAGAAAGTATATTTGCAATTGTCAAGTTTTATTTTAACATTTCAGTGAGTTATTTTTTTTTTTTTTAATTTCTAGTTTTGTGGATAAAAGAGGAAAAAAGTGCTTTTTCCAATTTTTTTTTTTTTTTTTTACTTTTATTTTTTTTTTTTTAAGTTTTTTATTTTTTTTTATTGTTTTGTTGTTTTTTTTTTTTTTTTTTTTAATTTTTTTTTTTTTGGTAAAAAGAGAAAAAAATTGTTTTTTCTAATTTTTTTTTTTTTTTTTTACATTTAATTTTTTGCTCTTAAGGTTTGTATAGAGAAATGAATATGTGTAAAGTTTATGAAATCCTACCTTTGGCAATACTTATTAGCTGTGGTATTTAGCTATGAAATAGTAAAAAATATAAAAGATTGGTTTTTGTGTCCATATTATTTTTTATTAATTATTATAAATTAGTTTATAACTAAATGATATATAATATTCAAGTCTTTGTGTAACTAGTACAGGGAGCAGAAAAGCTCTCTGCTTCATTCTCAAAATGTGCCCATTAGATAAGTCATGTCTGCTCCCTGGTTAAAACATAATCAACAAGCAATAAGGAAATAAGAGGAATATACAACTATTTCTTGTTGTGAGACGAAAGTCAAATGCTGCTTACTCCCAGTCCCCATCTATTATCTAAGAACTGTTGTCAAGCTAAAGTAAATCGAAGGGTCTGTTGGTCAACAACACAGCTTGTGGAGTCATCAACTTAAAGGTGCAGTCATCAAATCTGTTTATTCTTCACTCGTTTAATCAAATCCTTACGTATGGTTAAATGTTTGCTGGAAGATTTTCATTCAACAGAATTTTTTTGGAAATGTCAAAAATCCTACATATTTTTCATTTACTATGGTCATTGCCCAGCACAAAACAATTCTTCAATTATCTGCTGATGTTATCTATTTCAAACTGACTTGTGTTTCCTAAAACTTGAATTAAATGGACAATAGACAAGTAGTTCTTATGTAAAACAAACATCTCACCAGCTTTAATTGTCTTTACTGAATCTAATATTTAGTGTGTTACATTATTTAAAAGATCTTTTTTTATTCTTAGCTATAAGGTGAATGGATCATAATGGTATATCTTTAGTAATTCAAATACTTATCTGATGAAACTTTAAACAACCTGACTGAAATATTTGAAGAGTGCGCAAGAGAATTAAAAAAATTAATTATTCTTGAAGTTGAAGCAAGCTCAATTTAAACTGAACAGAATCTTGTTGGTTTAGTCTCTGTCAGAGTTCAGCAATTTTAAATTTTCTACAAAACAAGTTGCAATCAAAAAAATGTGATTAAATCACAAGGTAAGAAAATAAGAAGGCACTGTTTGAAAACACATCTGTAAGTTGATATTTAATTAATTTTCTAATATATTTTTTTCTTACTCAAAAACAATAAAAGACATATCCAAAAGAGCATTAAGATAATTTCGAAGATAATTAAAATAATTTTATATGCATTCTAAGAATTAAATACATCTTGTTAAATGTTTAAAAAATGTCTTGATCACATTTGGAGGTGGTTACAAATAAAACTATTACTTTGATTTCATTATATTGATGGGTTCTGACACCCTTCACTTTGCCATTTTAGAATTGAGAGCAAGTTCTGCTAGAATCCAGGACATGTACTTGTTTTCACCACATATTATTTCTCTGAAACAGATCATCAATGATGCAAAGCTAGCATGAAATTTATATCAAAATTAAACGGCTGGTATATAAATGTCATGGCTCAGCCAATTTAGGTTAGTGCAATTATAAATAAGAAAATAGTAAATTTGTAACATATGAAAGTAAATGGTAGCAGTGTGTTCCATAGCTGCATGTCGCCCTGCTGCTTAAGTCATGTCCCTAATGAGGTTATCTATGCCTGAAGTTCTTATCATTCTAGGATTGGAGGACTGCTGCTTAAGACATGTCCCTATTGAGGCTATCTATGCCTGAAGTTCTTATCATTCTAGGATTGGAGGATACAATTTTTTTTATATTTATGCAGATTATGTTACGGGTTAATTTTTTTGAATAATTTTTTATAAAAAGGGTTCAATGAATGCTTTGTGCATGGGCTGTTGTAACTTTTCCTTTGGGTCAAACAGGAGAATAATATTACCCCTAGGTTTGTAGCAAAGAGCCCACCATCAATTTCAACACATTTTAAATATAATTTAGACTTGATAGGCTAGTCATTTGTCTTAGGCTGCCAATCCATTTTTATCAGTCTAAAGCTGTTGCTGAATGTAACAAAGTTTTTTTTTTTTATGTTTCTTTTTATAAAACAAAGACAAGAGCCACTTTGGGGTAGGGTTGTCTTTCAACTTCAGTGTTTGATTTTATTTACTCAGGGTTAACCAGCTCCGCCTTTTTGGGCTGACAAGTCCAAGCCAGCTGGTAGTTTTACCAATAACTTTGGTCAAACCCAGATGATTTTGAACCCACTTTCTATTTAAAACAGTTCAAAAGAATTGTAGTAATTCGTAATGCATTTGCATCCTTGGCCTCTAGAAGAATTCTTTTTTTTTTTAATGCCAACTTTTTAGATGGAACCATTTTAAAAATGTATCAATGAATCCATATTTGTCAATGGGATGCTCTTGTTGACAACTATTCATTCGCATTAAGTATTCAATTATTCTAAATTTTATTTTCCATAAGCTTCTGACACTGACCTCTGATTCGCAAAATGACAAGTAAAAAAAGTCAACTTGGTGTTGAGTAATCCACACATTTTTTTTTTTTTATCACTGTAAGAGTGATTACAATGTAAGTTAATCAGAAAATTAACTTCTTCAGGTATACACGAACAATAACTTATACTTTTATACAGATACTTCACAAAAATTATATCTCTTTTTTAAAATAATATTAACTTAGAAACAACAGCAATAAATCCCAGAATTCAAATTAAACTTTTTTTCTTTTTTTTTTTAAAGTTTATTTTGCATTCAGCTTTGTACTAAATTAAGTTTTAATACAACAAATTTTTTTTTTTTAAATATAATGTGTAAAGTAACACCTTGACAGAGATTAAAACTTTGGTTTATGAGAATGTCTGATTGTTCCAAGTACAATTAACATTAAAAAAGGCAGTGTTAAATGCAAAATATTAAATTTTTATAATCATCATTGCTTGTAACTACTACTACTACATTGCCATTGCTGTGCACTGAATTGCCATTGCTGGGGTAGTGCATTGCCACTGCTTTGTACTGCATTGCCATTGCTTTGAACCTCATTGTAACCTCACACAAGAAGACTTGGTTTGTTGACATTAAATTATGCAAAAATAATTTAAATGTGATATTTCCGTTCCTTTTTTTTTTTTTTTTTTTTACCAGATGAAATGAACATAGACAAAAGACAACTTTGGCATCCAGCTTCTCTTTTTTTTTTTTTTTT